TCAGTGTTTGTTATGGTTATTGTTTAAAACCTGGCTGAAAAGATGTTATTTGTTGTTATTAACCCTGCGTCCAAACTTAAAGGAGTCTAGAAAGTAAAGCTGTCTGCCTTAACTCAGATGACAGCAATACAGATTAGCCCTCTATGTCACCTAAGGGTCATTTCACATTCTAGCATGCCAAAATTATGACAATAGGACCAAATTTGAGGAAAGTCCCCATCCACCCTGCGCTCATGTTTCTAATCCATATTCAGCCCTACAGTCATGAAAATCTCACCCAGCTTCATGAATAACAGCAGGAAGATGCTCCCTGGGGGCAATGGGGATCGAAGCATGCCCCGAGATGCCCCCACCACTTGGTGTAAATCTGGGTGCTTCTTGGTGGCCTCACAATAGCCTTCCTAGTTCAAAGATGGAGTAAAGAGAGCCCTTTTAGGGGGGTCCCCTCACAGGCATCTGTATGGTGACAAGCACCTGTGCAATCTCACAGGAGGACCACCCGGGGAGAGCAGCTGCTGTAAGTGCCGTCCTGGTTGCATTATGAATAAAGTAACACAACCCAACATCACGACGCAGGATCTGACAGTTGCATCAGCCTGCCAGTACTTGAAAGAGGATTTTACAATTCTAGGGTTTGGGTTGTGACTGCACTTTTTGTTCATCTCTGAGTTATTGCTCACATCTTTTAGGAGGTCTAATTGAGTTGGGAGTTAGTCAGCAGATAAACACCCCTCCCCGGAGAGTCAACAAGTTAGTAATTCGTGGGATGCTCTTATACAAAATGTCCTGCAAGAAACAAGCCCAATAGGCTGCTCGGGGATTGATACTAAGTGAGAGGAGCAAGGTGAAATACTCCTAGGAAGCTCGTAGAGGTTAGGAAATGTAGGTTGCGGTTGCCAGTGAACTCATTGGCTGTGACTAATTTAGTATTATCAAAGTAGTTGCCCTCACCAGGGGATGAGTCACTGTGAGCAGAGGCAGCTGGAGCAGGCAGGGTGGCATTCCCATCGCCTTATCCTCTCCTCACCATCACCTCTGGGAGGGAAGGGAGGGCTCCCCAGCCCCCTCGCACTCCACAGGTCCCAGCTGGGGGAGATGGACCTGCTCCCTGCGCCGGAGGGGTGCTCTGCCTGCCTGGGGTGCTGGCATACCCACCTCTCGAGGAGCCTGCACATCGATGAACTCCTCAAAGATCCGCTGGGCCTTGGAGGCCAGCTTGGCTGCTGAGCGGGTCTTCTTGAAGTCCTCGCAGGCGAGCCAGAACTCCAAGTTTTCCTCACTGAACTCTGTCTTCAGGAAAGCGCGGAAAGCAGCCAGCCCATCTGCAAGAGAGATGTGGGGAGTTACTACGGAAGGAGAAAGAAGATAGGGAGCAGTCTCTTTAATAGACATCCTTCCATCCACCCCTGCCTACCAAAGTTCATTTGATTTTTCTCCCAAGGTCTGCGATTCCAGGACGTGTCTATAACTTCCACCATTGCATCAACTGGAGTCTCGTGAGCTGCCACAAAGCCAAATATCATTTGCTGTTGCTCTGAAAAAACGTTCTGCCAGCTAACATGGCAAAAGGCTTTCTTCGAGATTGGGGCACCTAACCTTTGAAAAGTTCCTCTTGAAAATGTCAAGCTTCAGTGATAACATCTCTTTTCCACAGCATCTTGTGCGTGTTAATGCAGCACTTTGTAATGTTCTATCTGTCATTAAGAAAAACCTTTAATAAAACATAGTGTCTGTGGACTTGTCTCCTATGTTTGCTGTCACTTTGCTTTATTGCCTTGTGACATATTTTTAGTTCTTATTTAAACAGAGGAAGGATCTTGGAGAGTCTAACTGTTACAGCTACAATAAAGGGGAGAGGGAAAGGACGTGGCATAATTACCACTTGTCTAGTCAGTGGTAAAAGTGTTCTTATCACTTGTGAATGCTTAGCAATTGTGACATTTCAGTAATGTAATCTGAGTCAGCTGGGACAGATTAGAAATACGGGAAGATTTATTAGGCAATCTGTGTCTTCTTAAACCCCTGCCTGGGCATATTTATGGACACAGCTATTGTGTTTTATTTCCTTTCCCTGAATGGCACCAGCAGAGTTGAAGTAGCTGAAGGTTTCACACATGCCCTTTCTCCTTCCTTTAGCCTTGGGATAAATTTGGCTCCTGATTTTTTTTTTTTTCCAGTAACATGTTTCTAACTTTACCTAGTCTTTTTCTATAGGGTCTGAATATTTGTAGTTCATGACTGGAAACCTCCTCAGTCAGCACTGGCTACTTCCAAGCAAGTGTCTAAAAATATTGATGGAGTCAGGAATGCACTCGGCAAGGTCAGACTCCCCAAAAGGGTGAGGGAGCAGGGGCATGTGTGTGCGGCAGGGTCAGACAAAGACTGATGAGGGTTTGTAGGACCTGAACTCCTGCAGTGCTGTGGGTTGGGGGTTCCACCTGCCCCCTTTCTGCTGTGGGAGATCTTGGCAGTGCTGCCTTCCCTCCTTCCTCCCGTGGCAGGGGGCGTGGGAGCTGGGATGGAGCCCAAGGGGTGATGCCTGATGCTTGGTGCAGGTCATTTTCACATGTCCACGGCAAGCCTAGGCCCACTGGGGACAGGGGCTGACCATGTCACAGGATCCATCACAAACTCATTTACAGCTTTGTCCTTGTTTTCTTCCCTGCACCAGGTATGCGAGGAGAAGCAGCAATGTAACACTGCCCTTTTTCTCCCTTGTGTGTCCTAATTTTATTCCTGCTTCTCTTGTTTCTAGTAATAACTTAGGATATGGAGATATTTTTTGGTTCTAGGTCCTGATCCTCAGCCCTAAGAAATGGCCCCAGGTGTTGAACAGCAACTAACAGTCCTATTTCTGGCTGCATGTAACTCAGTGAAGATGTCTGACTTCTGATTGCCCAGATTTTCAAAGCAGAAAGATATTAGGCCAGGCAGGACCAAACTACAGGCTAAACCTCTCCACTCTGTTTCTCAAAGCTCATTCATTAATGGGCTCCGCACTGCTAACTGCTCCATCAGCACACTGCGTTGCAAAGAGCACAGCAATCGGCAACTAAACCGGGTATGTCCCATCTCAGCTACGCTTGCTTCTTCCTGTCATCCCCTGGAGGGACAGAAATAGCTGTATCACACCAACCCATCCTGCCACTTCTTAATTAATGCACTTGTAGAAGATCAGGGTTTCAGACTGCTACTGTGGACAAAACCAGGGCTTTTGTGCATGAGCACTGCAGAACAATTAACAGTGCAAATTATGGGTTCAAGACAGAGACAATAACATGACATTAGCCCCAGAGAAGCCTGCAGAGCAGAGAGTGCCAAAGGCATCTCTAGGTACCTGTCAGGATCACGCTGCACATGGCTGCTTTGAGCCTCTCCATGGGTAGATAAATAGGGTGAAAGAGAGAGATGTTTTAGGGCTGCTTCCCTTCCTGAAATCTAGGAGACAGAACAATTTTTCAAAACCTGTGTCCCCTTTAATGCCTATAAAATTCACAGGGCCTGTGTGGGAGCAGGTGGAGGACTTGAGAATAGAGCAGGGAGTCTTTGCAGGAGGAAAAGGAGAAGACATAACAGCAGGATGACAGGTTTCAGAAACAAGAAAGTACAAGAGGGAGAAAGCAGCAGTTCCCTGAGATGTATGTCATTTTGTGTATCATCCGCTCCTAAGATGTTTGACGTTGAATATTCCAGCACCCAAGCACACTGTTCTCTGCTGTGTGTCCCTGTAGAGGTTCCCCTTTCTCTGTTCTGGTCTTTTTTTTCCCCGCCCTTTCCTCTGCAACAGCCTCAGAGCCCCAGCACTGACAGAGGATCACTTGCAGAAATAGCAGCTTTGCAAGGCAAATAGAATATCTGCAAAATATAATACCCGCACAATAGAATATGTGCTAAAAGAAGGGGACTTCTTCATGATTGATGAGGTGAGAAAGGTGTCTGCTTCAGTATTGCCCCGGAGAGCAGCCACAGCAGGTCCCTCCTGGGACCAGGAGGTTTCCATATGCTCTGCCTCCTGCTCTCACGTCAATCAACTTTTTATCTTGAAGTAAGTTTAGATGGAGGATAGATAAATAATAGTGTCTGGCTGTTCTCTACTTCTTTATATATTCCTGTTGTGCCCTCTTTACAGCCTTTAAGGAGCTGGAAATGATGAGGCTGGACCTGGGAAGACCTTGGTCTGCAAGCAGTGGCGGCCTTGGACACAGGAGAGGTCATCCTTGACTCGAGGCTGCCTGGTTCTCCACAGATTTCATCTTTAGCCTTTGACGGCCTGCCAGCATTTACAGCTGTGCCTGGCAGCAGGAGTTCAGAGATGGGAACCCAGACAACTGCACAGCAGGCAGTAGTAAATGGCTGCCCACAAGTTTATCGTGGAACAATGACAAATCTAATTGAAAGGGCAGGAGGGCAATTAGGTATGGGGACTGCCACCATCTGAGCTGGAATTTGACCTAGATGTTGACTTTAATCTCCTCCTGCACGTGAAGGCTTAACAAGGAAGCATCGTTCATGAATGATCAGCATTTCAAAGCTCACCCCACCCAATGGGACAGCTTTTTTGCTGGGGCAACCAACACTGGATTGGAGTGTGATATGAGCAGGAGAGTGTCACCTACTGAGTCAGCCTCCTGAAATATCCTGGAAGGTGGTTGGAGCACCTGAGAGGTGCAATTCCAAAGGCATGCTGTGCAGAAAAAGCACAGAAGTGAAAAGCAGGATTAGAAGTCTTCAGATGCTGCAGCACAAGATATCCCTAACATGTGTAGCCTAGAGGCATGGCCATTCAAGAAGACAGACATGTACTGGTATAGATTCACAGCCCTTCAAGACAACTATTGGACACTTATTCAGGAATTTGACTCAAGAGCAGTGAGCCTTGCTTGAAGCCAAAGGAGTAAATCAGTACTGATGGAGCAGACAGGATGAAGGCAAAGAAATGAAGCTCTTCTACTGAGTGTCAAGGGTCTGAATAAGGAGCGGAAGACATTTGCTTTTTACTTTTGCAGTGTGAAGGTAAGCTTCAAAATGCCCTCCTCTCCTTTCAAATAGACCAAGGGAATGCACAAGAGGATTGTCAGGAAGGATTATGCAAGCATTTGTACATCACCCCATCCCAAGATCTTGCAGTGCACCATACAGCTATAACCCTGCAGGTCACTTGTGAATTAGACAATGACAAGAATTTGTGTTTTAAAGATGGGAACTGCCAGACAGATCAATGACTATGTAAGGATAGGCACTTGGATGCTCCTGACATCCCATTCAAATACTGTTCTTCAGGCCATGGAGAGGGGATCCTTTCCAGCAAGAAGGGCTGTGAAGGAAGGGACTGAACTGGCTAGCACAAAACACAACACAGGTCTTAACTAAGGCAAGCTTCAGCAACATGAGGAAGAGCCGAGATTAGTGGCTTAAATCATTCAGGGAGACAGCTTAATAACCAAGCATTAGCCACTGTCAGAGTAAGAAAATGATCAACAATCATATATTTAATGCATGCATTTCACACCATCGGGGCAATCAGCACTTCGTGTAGGAAATAAAGGTAGAGTCCTTATGGCTGGTAGAGGAATGGCTTAGCTCTATGGAGCATGTTGGGTCCAGGGCTGAAGAGACAAGGCCATAATGCTCTGTATAGCATATGTACATGCTCTCACAGCTGCTTAGCATTGCTTTGGTGAATGTTAGCTGCCTGTCACCAGCACAATGCTAATGCTAATGCTGCTCTCGCTCAGAAAGAACTAGGAGTAGGTTGCGATATTCCTGTGCTGTGTAGGAAGAGGAGCAATGTGTAGACAACAGAAGGAGGAGGGGACAATAAAGTTTGTGCAGAAGAGCAAAGACATCACAAAACATGGTGGAGGGGGGAAAGATCACCCTTGAGATAAAAATGGAAATTCAGTGCAAAGGTTTTCTGTGTTAGATGCTTCGTTGAAAAGTGACTAAGGGTTGAGGACAGACTGTCCTGCTGGATTCTGGACAAATGACAAGCCATGTGTCCAGCCCCGCAAGGGATGCAGAATGAGACATGCCATTGCTTGTATTTCCCTCCAGCAGCCTGTCAAAAGAAATCTCCATCTGGTTGACCAGCCTATATCTCCTGGGCACGAGTACAGAGGAGGGATTACTCCTCTGTTACTCACATGCATGCACACACACTCTGTGGACCACACTGAGCTCTACTTCCCTGGGAGCCACTGCTAATCTGCACTGGCATAAAATGGGAAAAGATGCCAAAATCTAGCATGTTAAAAACACTGCTTTGGCTCCCTGAGCATCCAAGGAAGCATGCTACATATGATCTGTCTTGCTCTCTCAATTCCGGGCTGCAAAGTGGGATCCAACTCCTCTCTCCTGTTGCTTGCCGTGCTCAGAAGCCCTGACCTAAGGGAACACCGCTATACTGTGCTTGCGTCTGTTGAAGTGAGCTCAGGCAAGGCTCCTGCCATAAAAAGGGGATCAGCTACCTGACCCTATGGTTTCAAGTTGATTTCCTTCACCCATTAGCAAAAACAAGTAGGATATCATTGCATTGATCTGGGGCTGTCAATGAAACGGAGCTGAGCTGCATCCGATGCTTCAGCATTGATTACTCTAAAAGGGCTAGGCTGAGGGATGCTGAAGTCCCAGTGCCAGTGCAAAAAGAAGGTGGGGGTGCGACAGAGAGAGCCTTTCTGCCTTTCCTACTCACAATCTCTTGCTAATGTCAACAAAATTTATTCTTTAAATGACCAGGGAATTAATCCAAATCAGGCCACTGTATACAGAGGGGCATTACTCATCCCAGGAACCTCTGGAGACATGCAACTGCTTCAAAACCCAGGGTTTTTCAATCCTCCACTCAAGATGCTGCCAGAAGTAGCATGTCAGGATCAAACATTACCTATGTAAGTCATTCATCAAAACAATCAGGGGAGAGGGAAGGGGGGTCATCTCCACAGGGCCAGCACTCTTCAAGGGATATTTGACAAAAATGAGCATAATGACACTCTCCATAGAGTCTGTATAAATGCATAATACCTGTTCAAGTCACTTCCATTCAGAAACCTTTTGGAGACTCATTAAAATAGGAAGTGGAAGAGTACAAGTTGTTTGCCTTTCCCATAAAGAGTACTGCAGCCCTGCGAGCCTCCTCCATGTACAAGGGGACCCTGCTCACCTTGACACTTCTGAGAGTCTTTTAGGGAGCTCTGATCCACTTTCTTGCTCCTTGGAGCTCTTTTTTTGCATCTGTCCAACCCCTTGCAGTATTACGCACAAAGACTGCCCCATTTTCAGCTGCAGCATCCAGCTCCTGAGTCCTACTTGTGCACTCTGGGGTTTTTTTCCCCGACAGGTTGGCTGGAAGGAACTACCACAACATCTGACCACAGCAGAAAGTGCCACTAAAGTCCCTGAAATTAGCATCACACTCTCCTTCCAAAATAGATGAACTGTCCATCTAGTGAAGAAAGAATTTATGACAGATGTGTCAAGCAGAAACAGTCTACCTGCTGATGCTGTGAGCCTCAGGGGAAATTCTCCCTGAGCCCAGCTGGTGCTTAGCCCATGCCCCCAAGCATGAATTCAAATTTTCCCTGGCTATTACCGTTCACCTGGGCAGTCACCGAGAAATTAGACTGAGACAGTTCTGTCCTTCTCTTGGCACTAGAAACAGAATATTAGCCAGCAGCTTTACTACAGACAGATGTAGGCAGGCCAGGCACTGCTTTTCTTACTCTGAAATTTTGGCCAGGTAAGGCACAAGACCCGCTTACCTAACATCAGCATATGTTTCTAACAGCAAAAATGCAACTCTCTTGTTCTGTTTCCATAGCAGATCTTTGGCAATTCTTCTGTGTTTTGGATACAAGTATACATAAGCGAAACCACAATGATTTTACAAGACAATTCCTTTTATGGATATATGTTCTTCTTTACCAGTGCAACTGAAATAACACTTCTGTTCCACTGGAGCTCTTTGTATTTGCATCGTTATAACCTTTGACTGCCAGGCTAGCAATTCCAGAAACTTCAGGTGCAGAGCAGTTGTAATATATTTCTTTAGAAAGTAGTTTATTAAACAACAAATTTTTTGTCACTGATCACCAGGCAATGTCACTGTGACTACTGATTAAAAAAAAAAAAAAAAAAATTTTTTTGAAGCTCACCTTCTGTTGCTATTAGGAACTGAATATTTTTCATTAGGTGCCAGAGAGTTACCAGAATTACTTTCCATTCTAGAGACAGGAAAAATTCTGATAATTCATTTATCACTCTATAAGGCTAATTTATTAATAAAAACAGACACTCTTGTGGAGGCTGTTGGATGAAATAATTGAACTAAGGTTTAGTTTAGCATTCGCAGCAGTCAGCTGAAGAGGGAACAGTCTGTATAATGTCAGTACATAGATGCGTAAATTCACTGGCTTTTGTAACCAAAGCACTGTTGCTGCAGTCTGTATCTAATAAGGAAAATTTCGACTTTTGCACTGGTGAAGGAGGAACAGGGGCTCGAGTACAGAATTGTAACACTGATGTGAATATCCTGTCCTCCCCGCTCCATCCCCCAGGCACCCTATAGTCTCTTTGGTGCATTTTTCCCTTCTTGTTTTGAATTTTGACAGAAGAAATATTCCCTCTTAGCCATACCCAGCTACACCATTTTTTTTTTTCTACTGGCTGCAAGAGCAATGATCTCAACAAGATACTGCTGCTAAAATTATATATTGCTTTTTCTGCCTTGGACAGCCAGCCTGTTTAAAGTTGTCACTTAATTCCCTGCCAAAACTGTTGTCATCTCAGTAGAAATCCAGAAAAATTACACTTTATTTAAAATAATAATATAATTCTACACTTATATTTTAAAATATAAGTGCGGAAAAAAACCTGAATCTCTAAGAAAACCAGATAGTTCCTTATTGCGATAAAATAGTTCACCACCCACATTGACTTCTCCCCAACCTTCACTTGCTCTTGTTTTATTCTGCAATAGAAACACATTAATGAGCCTATACTGTGAACTTCGCTGTCTTGTTTATAATTTCTTAGCATGAAAATACTGGTGAGGCAGACTAATATTTTCTGAACAGAACTGATACAATTGATCTATTGAATAGAGCAAGGTGTGCTGATTATACCTTTGCATAAGGTTTCCAGATGTGAAATTTTCAGGCTTGCCTTGGTAACTGCAAATTAGATCCTGCTAAGGGCTACCATACATGATTTCTCTGCTACAGAGCAAGTTGTTCAAGGTTACTGAACCACGTACAGCGTTGTGTTGTAGAACTCCCAGCAAAGGCTGCACTTCAACACGGTGTAGCTGCATAGTAGCTCAGAGGATGCTGAAGGGAGACTGAGACAAGCTGGTGTCGTGGATCCCAGGGGACTTTAGCAAGCTGAGAATCTGCCATTTGCTTGTGCGGAAAGCCTAGACCCAGGGGCACTTGCCAAAGGACAGTACGCATGGCTACAGCCTGGAGGTTCTACCTCCAGTGCATCCCCAGGAGCTGGAGAAGGCTAGACCTTGGGTTAATGACTTTATCTGTTGTGATCACCTAGTCAAGAGCAAAGCCAGGAAGGGGACCCACAGAAAATCACTCCCTCTCCTTTTAACCAGAGGACAAGTCCTGCCTATAAATGACTGTGACCATTGCCTAGTGGGTCGTAAGCAGCTACCCGGAGGGACCATTCCTGTGCTATGCAATGCATACTTTATTTGGCCTAGCTACAACCAGTATTAAGGGTATGAGGGGAAAAAAAGTACAATTTGATCTCTACTCACATTTATGGGACAAAAGAACATCAAAAGAGTCTGCCCATCTTGTTGCTTCTTCTGTTGACAGTCTTCTATAAAGAAAGGAAGAGGCAAGTTACAGAGAAACCATGGCCACTGATCCCCTCTGGGGCTGTTTGACAAGGACAGCCCTTGGTGGCTGGAAGGAAGGCTGCAATTCTTCTCACCTAACTTTGGAGGTCTACAATGTTGAGGTCTCCAGGTGAGCAAGTCACCCTGGGCTCTCTTTAGAGTCAGTGAGGAGATACCAAGGGACCTGCAGGGACTTGACTCTCTTCACCTCACATCCCCAGCTAGGCAGGTAAAATAGGCCAGATGAATCACACTCGAATACGGACAAATTTTTCCTCATTGACTCTAAGCAGAGGCACAGGGAACAATTTCAGATGTAGACACTTAGATTGTAAATGCCCAAAAGTTAAGTGAAATTAAACTGTCCCCTGCAGAAGCGTTTACTTCTCTCTCCTGACTGTAAGGGGAAGGTCAGACTCCTAGCCTAGATGTAACCAGTGACTTGTGATCAGATGAATCCCATCCCACTCATCTTAAATCAGGACTCTGGATTGTCTGAAGCATCTACCTGAAGTGTTTTGCAAACTAATACGGGATTTTTTGGTAGTGTTTAATAACAAGGCTTAGTTAAGGAGGAGTGTGACCTGAAATTGCTGGTCACCTCTTATACCAAGCCAGCTGCTCAGACTTTGATTTGTGATGACAGAAGGGTGAATTAGGTCTTCAAATACATGCAGACATGTGCCACATACAGCAGTGGGGACTGTGCGCGTGTCCTGTCTCACAGGAGAACTCGTATCAATGATCCAGGTGTTTTCTGAGGCTGTTCCTGCCATATCAGCGCTGTTTTGTTTTCCTCCTTTCTTGTGGCTAAAAGGACTAGTCAAAGCTTACACAAAGTACAATAAAAGGAAGAGGGGGTGGTGGGTACGGAGGGGAAGGACAGAAATGGGAGTGGGGTGGGATGCTGCAGCTATACTCACTTCAAAGCCCGGTTAGGCTTGTCCGGAAGAATAGCTGTGAAATCATTATATGAGTCTGATTTGTGAGACAGGCAGCCCAGGCGAGTCCTCATCCCTCTGTTCCTGTGGTCGATGTGGGGGAGCAGGGGTGTGAGCAGTGGAAAACCAAAGAAGATGACGATTATAATTCTAGCCAGAGTGGCAAAAAAAAAAAAAAACCCAAACCAAAAAAACAACCAAAACCAAAAAATCTCAGTGGCTCTGTGTTTCATCAAACCTGTGTCCTTGGTTCCCTCATCTGTGGGAGGGACCCTGAAACATCTCCAGTAAGATGCCAAGCAGACGCTAAGGATGGACACGGCACCAGGGCAGCCGAAGCCTCACCCACACCAGTCATTCAGCTGCTCTGGCTGGCAAAAAGGCTTTTAAAGGCTGCACTTTGGGATGGTTTCTTGGAAAGACCTACTCTGGTCAGGTGTGAGAGGAGAGCGAAGGACAGCTATACCAGAAATCAGTCACTACAATCCTGCAGCACCAGCAACAGCACAAATACAAATACCAGGGCTTGAGGGCAGGAGGGGGCTGGAGGAAGAAGAGAGGGAGCAAGGCACCTGCAAGGTGAGCCTGTGCTGCAGAGCCATGAGACCCCAGCCAGGATCCCAAGCAGCTTCTTTAGACTCAGGGTTATATAAGCAGACTAAAACTGCCTCTTTCCTGACAGGCTTATCCAGCCAGAAGATGGCTTTATTGCTTTTTTCTTCTAAATTTCAAACTAGCCCCAGTGCCTTCGCTCCTTTGCTGGCCCCTCGCATCCTTGCCAGTCCCTTACCGGGACAGCCGGTGTGTCCGCAGCATCCTTCATTACACAGCCCCGGAACGGGCAGGAACACAAAGGCAGAGGGAAACATAACACACACACATACGTTATACAGGACTGGCATTGTCTCCCCTCAAAAACATATAGCTGCCGGTTAATGGTTTAACATGGTCTCTAGAAGGGCAGAGCCTGTGATTTGCCTCTCCAGCCCAAGGGCATCTCTTTTACTAGGTTCCCAGGACATCAAATGAGGCCATTCTTTCCTCTGGACCATGGCAGGAGGATTTAGTGACCCAGTCTCCACTTCTCAGCTGCTGGACCCACTTCTGAACTGGAGAAAGCCCTTCTCCGATCCCTGCTGCCAAACAGATGCCAAATACTTTCTGTGACTGCAGAGGGAAGCAGTGTTTTTCACTTCCATATGTAATTCTTGCAGAACACTTCAGCACCAGCAACTGAGCCAATCTGTAGCACGCCTGTTTCCCCCTTCTCCTCCCGCCCTTCAGAGCGTTTCTATTATTGCACATTTTAATGTAATCTTAAAGCAAATTAAATGTTAATTAAATGCAATGAGTGTCTTCCTGGTGCAGCACAGGCAGCTTGCAGTGTTTAACAAGCACAAAAACCTGGAGATCTTCAGTCACAGAAATTGTTGCACAGCTTCACAATATGGACCCATGACCGCTGGTCTCAGGATGCTATGCTACATAAACCTCAAACATCAACGCAAAAAACTCATTTGCAAAGTGTCATGTTCCTAGCTGAGCATGCTGGACCTGCTGTGTTCAAACGGACACTAAGTCTGCTATAGGATCTTTCTGGTACCTTTCCTGATACCTCCTGCCCCCAACCTTTATCTTCCCTGCACTGTTTGTTCTAGCAATTCTCACGAATTTCTCAGCAAGAAGTGTGACATGCATTACTGCAATGCTGCTCAGATTTCTCTCTGATGGCCGAGATCAAGGGACTGCAGCAGGGAATCAGAGCGTATGGGGGACAGAGATGCTGCGCCACGAGCAAGGAGCTTGTCTCTCATGGAACACCGATCTCTAGGTGAGGACTTCCAAGACAGGACACAAGAGAAAGAGAGGGAAAGAAACCGGGTACGCAGGAGGTGGAGAGGAAAGGGAAGGGCAGGAGGGAAGAGGGGACACTGCAGCGAGCTGAAAGGCTCCCTGGATGAGGTAGACAGTGACAGGATGGGCAGGGGTGAGGGATGCATCATGGCTTTTCAGTTACCTCCGTGGGATCAGTAAGGCAGCCATTCAGGCATCCAGTTATAGTTAACCCTTTAACTGGCTGGCTTGGACAGCAGTCGGGGCTGTTTGCAGGAGGCAGGAGTGCAGAAAGGAGGGATTTACTGTTTCATGTCCTGGCACTTAAAAATATATCAAGGAATCCTCTGCAAAAAAAGGATGACCAATTGTTCTCAACCCATTTGATCCTTGCCTCCTAGCGTGGAAGGTCGATTTTTCAATGGAAGACGTTCAGAGTTGACGGATGATCACACAGGAGAGACAGCATTTCCTTCTAAGACCAGGACTGCGGATTAAGTCCAGCTTCAGGTCTAAAGATTTTGAGTTTGGCGTCACAGCTCACCATGGAGCGGCAGGAGTAGGCATTATCGCACTCATCATTCAACACCTCTGAAGGTCTCTCCTCAACAGGCAGAGCTCCGGGCTGACCTCGCTAAGAAGACCAAGCTACCTCTTGTCCCTGTCCCTCCAGGTCATGGCTGACGTTACTGGCCAGGCATCACGGAAAAGCTGGCACTGCAAATAAAATAACAGGAGGACTTCACGCGTCTGCAGATGCTGGTCCTTTCACCATCACAGGCTCAAGCACTCACACAAAAATAACTCAAAGAAAGCATCTCCTCCTCAGGGTGGTGAGAGCCTGTGGGGAGCCACCAAGGAGATGCACAGTCTGCAAAGGGGAGGGAAGGAAGGAGGGAGGGACAGAGGGGGTGGCAGGGTCGCGGTGAGCCTTGGCACACAGGCAGCTGGTTGAACAAATCTCACATCAGAGAGTGAAGGCAAGGTCCACCAGCCGGGAGACTGATGGGACAGAGAGCAGGACTGTATAGTGAGCACAGGTTTCTTATTTGCCAGGATAGGGCCAAGCTCCAGATATCCTCCATGTTCTCTTGCCCAGAGGGAACAACTGAGGAGGAGACAAAGGAACTGATGAGAGCAGAGACTGCATACAAAGGAGCCAGGACAGTGCTCTGCTGGACCTGGGGAGATCGCAGAACTTGGGCCGCCCATCACAACATCCTTTTTAAAACCTGATTACATTAAAAACGCACAAAGCCTCTTCCCAACTAAATTAATGGAACTGGGATTGTGCTACATGCCACTGAGTGCATTTCCTTAATCTCTACCCTGACCGGCTGCTTCGATGCGCTTTAACTGAAATCAATCCTTGTAATTCCTTAAGCCCCTTTAAATTTCCTCATTAACAGCCTCACCCGCATGTGGGGCCACAGCAAATGATTTCCTAGGGTCCAGCAGCCCCTAGTCCTCTTTCCCACTGCTTCTCTGAAGTGAAGGCTGGAAGTGGAGCCAGGTGCCCTCTCCCTCGCAGCCTCTTCTAGCAGCCCGCTTTTTGGGGTACTGTTATGAAAGAGCTTTCTGCTCGCCCCCACTCCCACCCGCTCACCAGCCCCCGCAACAACAACCTGCACAGCTGAGCAGCACCGAACTTCCCTGTGATCCCAAAGTCTGCCTGACTTCATGGATGTGGAGACCTATATTTCCCTTGAAGGCAAACCCACTGCTAGGCTGACATTCCCACGGATATTTCCTCTGATTGCAGATAAAGCCAGTCAATCATGACTTTAGAAATATAATCCGTGGCATCTGGTAAAGGCATCCTGGTAGGGGTCCATGGTGAGGGTTTTGCCTCCTGGTCCATCATTCATCCTACCTCCCCCTCCTATGAAAGGACCATGGTGGTCAAGGAGAATTGCCAGTCTCATCATAGATGTGTTTTGAGGGTTTCTCCTTGGGAGACAGAAAGGGAGGGGTGTGATTGTGACATTCAGGTTATCAAACCACCCCAGGAGATCACCTGAGCAAAGATAAAGAAGCCATCCCAATAGAAAAAATTAGCAGCATGAAGGTTAAAAAAAAGAAAAAAACCCACAACAAACCATGAGATCTCAGGGGCTTCAAGAGATTAAGACCATCCATTCACATGCAGAGAAAGCCAGAAAAAACTGAACACAGAGGCACTGCAGACAGACACACACAGAGAAAAAGATACTCACTGCCTTTGACCTGTCCTCTCTGCTGGTGGGTCTGTGCTGACAGCGTGGTCAGAGAGGCTCTGGGGAGAGAACAGAGCGGTCTTCTTCAGAGATAACCCCCTGCACAGGGTGAAAGTCACACTTCGACACCCCTCCCCTCCCCACCTCTCTCCAAGCAGCAGCAGTGCAGCTCAGAGCAGATCGCTCTCGCATCTAGCAAAACCCTACAGCAGCCTCAACCCAGCAGGCTGGGGCTCGGCTGCCTCATTGGCAGCACTGCTGAGGAGTCCACCTGATCACCACGTTTTGCTGCATCTCCTCCTCACCCACCTGGCAGCAAAACCCCAGCTTCTCCCCCGTTGGAGGTGGGGGACCGCTCTGCTCGAGCGGCGGATGCCAAAGGCTGTCAGGGAGCATCTGGGGGTGGGGGATGCCTGCGAAAGCACTCACTGTTGTCACCCTCGGTATGCTGGAATAAAGCATCTGCCTGCATCGTTTTAATCGGCTCCTCTGAGGTTTAGGGAAGGTTGCTGCCCTCAGATCATAGATCATCAGGAGTTGCCACAGACAGAAGGGATAGGAGAATTTAATTAAAGAGCCCAGGTGTCAGCAGGGCCAAATAAAATCGTTAACAGGCAAGGAGGCACCTTATTGCAGGGCATGGGACGACAGAAGAGAAAATCCACCTGGCAAGTCAGTGATGTGACTGCCCCCCTTTCATCTGTCTCCCCTTCCCTCACCTGATGTGTGCAGTCCTGCTCACTCCCTGCCCTGCAGCAGGCTCCCTGCAACCTTCCTCGCTGCACTCGCCCCACGGCTTAGGCTCCTATTCCCTTTCCTCTCCTGCACCCACAACTTCACCCACCAGAGGATGTATATAGGATGTCCAGTGCACCCCAGTGGCTCTAACAACAGCCTAACCCATGGCACCGACATGGTGGAGCTGCAGCACGGCCCCCCAGCTCTGGGCTTAGCTCAGCCATCAGTAACAACACCTGGGTGCCACACAGGCTGCCTAGGCACTGGTGTGGGTCACTGACTCACTGAGGGCTCAAGCCATAGGACCTCCATTGCTTTTTTGATCCTGATGAAGTTGACTGACTGAAAAAAGAATAGTAATAATAATAATAAAGTCCTCTGCAGTTAAACAAGTCATTGCCTTTTTCCTGGAGACTTGTAGTCACCTGTCTCTTCTCTGCTAAAAGACTGCTGGGCCTGACATGCTGGTGCTACTAGCAGGAAACATGTCTTGAGATAGCACATTATCACCAGGCAACATCCCTGGGGAAAGAGAGTCCTGCAAAACTTACTACGAAAACACAGGGCTTAGTAGCACTGCGGCAGTGATCCCAGCTCTCCATCATCTTGGATCCCCTCCTCCACAGCTCAATTTGGCAAGGAAATATTTGCCTTGTTCTTATCCTCCCATCGCAAAGCCCAGGTCATCCTGTCTCGGATTAATCATGTCTCCAGTTATCAGAAGACAAGCACTGTAAAAAATGCCGTGGCTAATACAATCTCCTCTCAGCCAAGGTCGAAGGTTGAGGTTCATCTTACACCTTTGGTACAACAGACTGGTTTGTTCAAGTTAAATAACAGTCAGCTTCAGCCCTTGCCCTAAACCCAAGCTAAATTAAATACATCATCACCAAGGGTTTAACTTCTAACATGATATTTTTGTTTTAATGCATTTCCACACTTCCAGGTTCTCTCTGGGCAACCGCAGGATGTCACAAGTGACGTTTTTATAATACTTCCGGGACATCCCTCAGATCTCATTTACACACACAGACATTGTGGGGTGGGAGATGTCAACAAAATGTTAAATCAACAAAACTCTAGATAATTCTGGTGCATTATTCAGATACCTGGACTTTGCTTCAGTCTCAAGCAGATCAAAAACACTGATCCACTAACTCTGGATGGGATAGATCAGAGGACCACATGAGTGCTCCCGCTCCTGCTCCTGCTTTTATGCCAGTTTTATATATTGCCATGTCACAGCCATCACCAGCATGGACAGAGACCTCAGTCCCTATTTCTTCAGTACATCAGTACACCCTTTTCGTGACCTCAGTGAGACCCTAGAGCAACCCACAAATGACTCTGAAGACCAACAATTTTTTCTTCAAGTTTCCTGGGCCAGGTGTGAGTTAATAGAGAACAAAAATAAGTGAACTGTGTTCACACAGGCACTGTGGGAAATGTAATTAAATTGCAGATAAAGAAAATTATATTTTTACAGGGTAATATTTTAGAAAGCTTCTGTGCAGTAGAAGGGGTTTATAGCAAATTCCTTCTCAAATGGCCCTCCTGCTTCTGAATAGTCTGTAGCTTCTATTTAAAAGCTTTTAATAAAATAACTCATTTTGATATTAGGCTTGAATCCCATCCAAAATTTTAAATCTCTCCAAGAAATACTTTAAAGCAATTTCCTCATGACCCGCTAACAGCAAACACACAAGCGGTGAACATGTGCAGCGTTGGGAGTGTTGGCTGTCACCAAACAGGGTGGAAGGGAGTTTTCCAGCCTGTTCCCAGGACATTAATCCTCTCTCCACCATCACCAGGGTCCTTTTCACCCTCCCTATTAATTTAAATACCTCCCTGCCTATTCTGTGTGTTTTGCCTATTGATCATCATTCAAGTGCTTTTTTACCCAAAAACTCCTTCTGGACCAAATACCTCCACCAGTTTCACTTGGTCCCAGTTTCTGCCACTCAACTGCTACATAAAATTGTGTGGTCTGAAGACATCTGTTCTTTCCAGTATGGCTGCCCTCACATAACCATCCAGATCAGGAAGCCAGTTCCTGCTGGTAGTTGTGTGGCTTTTGCCTCTCCACATACAGGGATGCTCCTCCCAGGGCTGGCAGCTGACCCACTGTTCTCAGTTTGGAGCTGGAAGTTCAGAGGATGCCTACACTGACTAGCTCATTTGCTTGGCTGACATCTCCAGTGGGTTTGCCTTAAATAAGCTCCTTCACCTTGACATTTAAGCAGACTTCTCCCTGTCTTCTCACTCTTGCTCTATTTCCTTGGGGTCTGCTGCCGCTCTGGGATTCCATTATTTTATGCTTAACGAGCTGTCACGCCAAGCCTGTTGCTGTCACTTCCGCTTCTCATTTCTGACTTTGTGGCCTTGTCATATTTACAGTGATCCATGCCACAAGGCCTTTGAACTTCTTTGGGGTTGCATTCACTCTTACTTTGCGACTTTTTCTGGTTCTGTGCCAGCATCTCTCTTTTCTAGTATCATGCTGCAAGGAGCTTGTTCAAGGGTGTGCTTCATGACTTGCTAGTCCAATAGGTTTTTTCCTAGCACCCAGAAAGTGCTTCTTCAGACTGCTGTGATGTTTGGCAGCTACATCCCACAGCTGAAGTCATTCTTTGGTATGTTTTCATGAGATGCTGTTGCCTCTGTGATCTCTCTGGAAGATGCTCAGTGATGCAGGCTCTGTGACTGCAAAATGCCAATTACATGGGACCAGTTGCCTCCCACAATAGTCACTGCTTTGGGAATTCAGGTGACCTGCATGCTGCAAAGCCTGCCTTTGGCTCAACCACAAGCCTCCAGCCATGGTCCACTTCTGCTGTGACCCAAGGGGGCTTTGTTTTTTTGCTGGAGGACTGGAAGGAACAACCACCCTTGACCTGGAATGACAATCCTAGCATATCTCTCATGACATGAAGTGTCATTTGATCTGCTGTGACACACGGTCATTCAAAATTTATCCAGAATCCAGACTGGTACCTGTATGGGCCCAACCCCAAGGTAATTCAATTTAGTAATTAATTTATGTCCAGAGTTTGCTGTCCTCCACCACTGTTTGCAATTAAAGCTGGAAGAAAATTGTTAGTAACTGACATCTGACATGCAATGGTCTGCTCACTGTGCAAGGCTGCCTGCCTGCTTCTTTGAGGGTCCAGGGGAAAACACGCTTGGTCCAGCATGAGGTGACTGTCTTGGCAGGAGAGAATTACGACTGACATGGATAGCTTCCTAAACTGCAAAACAAATCACAGACTTGACTTACTTGTGAAGAGAGCCACAAGAACAGCTCCCCCTTCTAAAAAAGGAGCTCCAGTAACATCAGGAAACATCCACAGATGTAGCTCAGAATGTTTTTAAGGGGTTAATTTTTCTATTCACCTTAAACCTCAAATAATTTTCTACATCATCCCAGGCAAGCAGGAAATCCTGAAAGGTGAAACAAGGAGAGCTTGAGTTTCAGGAGTAGGTGAGGAAACCAAGCAGCTGATATACTGAATGGCAGATTGATAAAAGAAGCCACCTTTCATGTGCTAACGAGGCAGGGCAGGAGATAGGAGACACCCACTGAGTTGAACTCCCCTTGAAAATAAAAGACTGTGTATAAAAATAAAAATGAGTTACATAAAGTGTGAGCCACGGTTCTGTCTCTGGGTTAGCTCGAGAGCATGGCAGCTATTTCAGTTCTCCCCTGTGTCAATGATAAAAGTGTCTCCTGGACATGTTTGCAGCTCTCAGGCATTGCGATTGCTGCAGCAGAACAGATGCCTCCACTGTGAGATGGCTCCTGGCCCCAGTCTGCACGCTCCTGACTCCCTCCCCAATTCCTCCAGGCAGGTAGGACGCAAAACCGACAGCTAAGCAGTGTGGAAGACTCCAGGCTGAGAGGGGCAGTGCACAAGACAGGAATCAAAGGGAAGAATTTCCCCTTTAAAGCTCTTTATTACAATTCCATAATTGTTCTCTGAGGAAACATGGTCCCATGCCCAGGAGCAGTTACACGTAAAGAAGCGCATCGGTACCCCTGCGTGTGCGTTGGAGAGGAGGCTGTTAGCGTGGAGCAGGGAGGCAGAAAGGATTGGAGTTGACACAGAGCTGCTCTGTGCAGCCTTGGAGTCCTCCCAGCTTTCAGCATCGCTGCTGCTGTCAATATGGCAGTGTCTGTAACGCAGTTGGTGTGTATGGCTGGGAAGCCGAGACAGATCCACCCCGGCAGACAGAGCTCCACAAAGATCCCCTACTGCAGATGCTCCGTCCCCTACACATTTTGATTGAGATCTGATGCTTGAGACAGGCCAGGGAGGAGTGAGGCTT